TCCCCGACCACTCCGCACGAAATCTGCGAACACAGCCCGCTCACCAACCGAACCCCTCCCACCGGATCGAACGAAGCGGCTCACCTGGACGCTCGCGAGCCGAAGCACCCTCCCGCACACGCCTCCGCCGGGCGACGCCCTGTCCTCCATGTACGGCCGCCCGCAGCCCCAGCCCCCCTCGCCGCTTCCATTCACCGCCCCTCGGGCGACGCCCCCGCCGCACCCATCCTCCTCCACCTCACCACCCCCCCTACGAATCCACCACCCCTCCTCCTTCCGCCGCGCCGCACCGCCGCCGAGACGGGGACCACCAGGCTGGCCCCCACCGCACCACCGCACTGGACCACCACCCACCCACTCGCCTCCGCGCCGCCGGCTCCGGCTCGCCGCAGATCGAGGCAGGATTAGGTTCCGCGACGCCGACGAGGAGCAGCCCAACCCCCCGCGAGGAGGAGAGAGAGAGGATGGAGGAGGCGGAGACGCGGGGAGGTGGAGGAGGTGAGGTGTGGAGGTGGAGGCGTAGTGGTGGTGGATTTAGTCGTGAAGGCTACTAGTACCACCACTGAGACGGAGAAGAGAGAAAGAAAGAAAAAAAAAAGAAAAGAAACGAGATATTATCGTTTTTTTTTTTTGCATTTTACTATTGCGCCCCACGCCCACGGCCGCTATTAATGCCGGAAGGGGAAAAGGGGCGGGGAGTTGGGTGGAAATTACGGGGGAGTGCCATCGCCCCCGCCCCGGCAGTTGGGGCGGAGACGTGGAGCTGTTCTTCTGTAATCCGGTTCCTCCTTTTTGTACCGTTGCGGCCTAACCACAGAGTTTAAAATTCATAAAAGAACGAAATTCGCTCTGATCGGTGATCACTTTTTGAATTAGTAGTCGTAGCCCCCGTTTCTGTTGCCGTCGGCCGCTCCAACCTCCTGCGATTTATTTTATTTATTAAAAAAAACTAAAAGAACATATCGCCCAGCTTTATACTCAATGAATCAAGTAATTAATTACACTAGTTAATTAATAAATTGAGTAGTAATTAATTATTCAACTGATGATGCTGATGATAATCGCGGCAGCTGTCGAGGAGGAGGACGCGAGAGAGGCGTACTTGCGTACGTAGCCGCGTGCTTCGCTTGAGGGCTTCTTCACCTTTCCAGCATCGCACGATCCACCATTCCGCTGGAGTTGTTAACCACTAACACCAGCATCGTATGTGCATACGAACGAATCGGTGAACGACGCGAAGCGAAACCCCCGACTTGTACGATTCTGCGGCTCAACCGAACGTAACGACTCGCTCAACCACTCGCTCGCTCGCGGCAGGGGGAGGGAGGGGTCAAACCGGCTGCTCTGCTCTGCTGCCAATTGTCGCCGGCCGGGAGGCCGATCAGTCACCAGTTCACCACCACCACCGAAGCTGATGATGATGGGGGAGCTTTTTTTTGCCATTTTCTATGGATCGCAGGTGACCCACGTACTAGGAGCATGTACGATAGTGGCTATAAGCAAGCTATAAACATATTTTAGAAAGATAAATAAAGAGAGAGAAGAGTAGTGAGCTACAGATCTGTAGCTAGCTGCATCATGGACTTTAAGATATAATGTGTGTATGATAGGTTAGGTGGGACTAGATATTAATAGTATAGTAAGCAACTATTATATAAATTGGCTATTACATTGGCTATAGATAAACTGGAGCTAGTAGTTGGTTATACTGTTGAACTTGCTCTATTACGAGTAGCATATGCAGCAGCAGGATCTAGATCTGTGTTGGTTTTGTGATCGATCGATCGATCTCACGTGGCATTATCCAATATATATCCATCGGCAGCAAGCAGCAAGAGGGGGGACATGGGTGGTGGTGGACAAGGGCGTCATGAGTGTGAATGCTGCGTGATGATGATTTGTTTGTTACAGTATTCTCTTTTTGGGTGGGCATGTGCACAGGTCAAAGTTTGGACGCTGCAGGCGGCCAAACCCAGCGGAGAGTGAGCGAGTCTAGTGTGTGTTTTTTGTGTGCTGCGTGTGTTGTTTGGAGAGTGGAGACAGCGACCGGAGGTTCGATGATCAGCTGAAGACTTGTGATGGGAGCTCGTTTTGTTCGAGACGCGTTCTATAGCTTGCAAGTTTGGAGAACACACGTACAGACGTACTACTGACGTACTCCTTTGTTCTGCATTCAAACGTCTCTGGTAAACAACAGCGAGGACAATTTTAACACCGCTATGCAATTTTGGTGTATAAAAGGACAAAACTAACACCGTATTTGCAAAATTTGGTACGACAAAAATGAAGACGAAATCAACACCGTTCTTGCAACAGTGGTATAGCAAAGTATCAAAATGAAATACTCCGTAGGTAAAAAAAAAAAAGCATAGCAAAGTAAAATAAAACAATCTGTGCAACATTGGTATAGCGAAGTATCAAATTGAAATCAAATAAAAAATTAAAAATAAAAATTAAAAATAAAAAGTATTAAAATGAAATTGGCAAAAATAATACAAAATCAAATATATGTCTGAGCCCAGGTTCGAACTGGGGACCTTTAGTGTGTGAGACTAACGTGATAACCAACTACACCACCCAGACAATTTGTTCGAGCCTTATGCGAAAATTTACTTATGCTAACAAAAATGGAGTGATATAAACTTGATCGCGGCAGGCGGTGCCACCGACAACTACGACGCCGGCTTCCTCGTCGCTGTCGACTGTCGAGTGGTGGCGAGGCGAACAATGCGGCCACTTTGCTGCCGCTTCCTCCTCCGCCGCCGGAGACTTCCCGGCGGCGGTGGCGGCTGCAGCATTTTCCAGCTGGTACGAACTACGAAGCAGCCCGGTTGGGTTGAGACTTGAGACTCGCAAACCGAATCCGTTGCCGCCAATCTGCCCCCATCCGGGTCTCTCGCCGCCGCCACAATATGCTCGCGTTGCCGTTGCCCCTCCAAGCCGCTCGTCTGCTTTGCGGGCTCATCTAAGATCGGAAGGGCACGGCTTGGCGGCGACGAGCTCCTCCTCCTCCTCTCCTTTCGACTGGACATCGCAAGATCGATTGTACCTCCTCTGGTAAGCCTAATCCCCTTCTGATTGTCCCGATTATCCCAAATCTTTTGATCGGCTGATTGCTATGTCGGATTCGATCCTTTGCGCATATCCGTACTCCTCCATGCCGATGCTACTTGCAAACTTGCTGTTGCCTATCAGGCCAGTGAGCTTCTAGTGTAGATGAAAAGATTGCCTTTTTTTTTTGTGAGATTGATTGGATAAGAGTTTTTTTTTTGGGGGTGATATAATGGATTGCATTGCTGTCATCCTGACGTGTAACCTCAGTTGATTTCTTTCCAATTAAAGCAGATGTCTTATATTTGCCAGGATTATTAATGATGTTCATGCATGTTCTAGCTTCTATGTCAAAATAGATTGTTTTTATTAGTGCAATCCAGATTGGTTGATACATAAATTTATCGGTTATGATATGTTAGTGCTCACTCAACATCAAGTATTCTGCATGTTCTACCAGGTTCTACTATATATACTGTACATGCTAACTCATACTTTTTGTTGTTCGCAGAAGTGCGCAAATCATCAGCCACCAATTGACCAAACCAAAATTCAGCAATGGAACAACTAATGGAGGAAATACATGCTTCAGCCTGTCATGTGTCATGGCCCTTCTATAAAAGAAGCTCAAGTTTTTGTAAACACAGTTATACAGCTGTTAACCAAAGGGAGTGAATATGTGACATGAAGGAGACTAGGTGCTGGGCGACACCTCAACGCTGGCTGCTCACACTAGATATGCTTTCATTATCCACTGCCTTGTAGAATCCCCTGAATCAGAAGAAGGTTGAACTGCCAATCTGTGGACCAAAGACTGCAAGTGTCTGCTCTCCTATGAACCTAAATCTCCCCGCTGCGTGGTGCTAATTGTTGATGCTGATGAACCTGTAATTTGGTTTTGCCGCGTTGGAGGGAAGGAATGGACTAGACATGGATATACAATTACTGTCGAAAAATCACCAATTTTATTCCACCATCTACTATATAGAGAGTCCAAGGACGAAAGTGCAGAACACAGTTCTCATGGAGAAACATCGTCAGAGGACATCTTGAATGGAGATGGCAATGGGAAAAGAAGAAGAATATCAAATGATGTGCATGGCACTGCAAAATGAGAATCGTCATTACGAAAGGTTCAAGATACAGAGCATAGTTGCTATTGATGAGAAGTTCTATTTTGACATATCCGCATCAGAACTTGGAGTTATCAAGTTAAATCCGAATCCAACATTTACCACAATACAAGTTAAGACACTGAAAGTTTCACGGAACTGTTGGGAGCTGGCATTCCCACATCTGGTCGTCGAATCCCGTGGGAGGCTCTATCTAGTTGTTTATGACCGACATTGTATACGCGATATGTGCCTCTTCAAGATGGATTTCTCAAGACTTGAATGGTGTTCAGTGGATAGGCTTTATGATCAGATCTTTTTTGTGGGTAAACTGCATTTCACGGCATCATATTGTGCTCGGCAGCTTGGATTGAAGCAAGGTAATATATATTACCAGGAAGTGGCTGAAACTATGTATGTTTCCTTTCTTGGAGACGAAACATAGGTACAGTTCCACTTTCCGCCTAAGGTTCACGGATAATCTCCCAGATCCATTGTCGAGCATATACAAAATGCTCACCGAAGCTTATTGTTTCACCATTGGCAACACTTAAGAGGTTTTTTTTTTTTTTGTGACTATGTTTGACTATGTTTAAGCAAACATATAATATATCTGTAGGTTTACCAGTCTGCTTCTCTATTTAGAATCTTTTTTTTTTCTGAAGGGCAAAATGTAATATATCAATATCTAGACTTATAAAGTCGATTTGTATCAGTTGACATTATGCCGAAACTTCGCCTTTTCATTTGCTTAAATAATATATCTGGCAGGTAAGTTGAAATTTTGTCAGTTACTTTTGGCAATTGCACAAAGTCAAATCTCCAAACTATGCTACATATAAAATATCTGTCTTCGCCTCTCTGATTGTGAACTATTATGTTGAGATCGTTCAGCATTTTTTATACTTTGTCTATGAACACACTTGTAATTACAACATTACTGCCAGAGTACCGGCACTACAAAGGATGACCTTCAAGAAAGCATGCCTCTCAGATAAGCAGCACAAGACTGCATAACTAAAGCAATAACTGTAAGAAAACCTTCCAGAATTTAGGCATGCATATTATCCTGAGCTTCTGACTATTTGTTCTTGTCAAGCCATTCGAGAATTCCTTTCTCCGACTCTGTAAGCTCATCTTCATTCTTCTGTCTTGCAGGGCCCTCGATCAGACCAAAGTAATCCCTGTAATTCCTCTTGTAGTAGTCGTCTAGCCTCTGGAATACAAGAAAATGACGGTAGAATCAGTGGCAACCCCAATCTGCGTCAATACCATTTTTGATGAATTATTTAAGCACAAAAGTGGACAAAGTCTAGAACCTCAAGTATGCTACATATCTGTAACTAGCTTTCATGAGCAACTACTCCAACCATTGATCTATTCACTGGAACATTATCAAATACCATTCTTAATTATCCTGAAGTTCTTCATATGGACCAATTTACTTCAAACTCATCATTGCTATTCCTAGACTAAATGTGCCTAGATTTCTGATTTGTCACTTGAGCCTATAATCTAGTTTTTAAAGTACGTCATATGTTAACTGGAACTTGTTACTCCCGTTTTAAATTATGTCGTTCTAATGTTTGTCCAAGTCAAACATATCTATCTTTGACCATTAAATTTTTGAAATTTGTGTAGTTTAACATCATGTGAGTTATATATTATGAAAGCATTTCTCACGGTGAATCCAAAAATATAATAAATCATATGTGTGCCAAGGAGAAAACCCGAAGGTCGCATACCTCTTTGTCGTTCTTTTCTTTGTTTTCCTTTGATTTCTTCAGATACTCTAATACACCCAAGGAGGAAAATGGATTATCTGATGATCTATCCAAGGTGGACAACCGGGTACCAGAACAATTGCAAACTCGGACCAAATTGGCGCGTACCTTGCAGTAGAGCCTTTCTTGATTCACCAGCCTCAGGTATGGCTGCAGTGGAGGTGAGGAAAGTGAGAAGGCCCCTCCTGCTAATGCCGTTCCTCTGAGCCAACATGGCCAGTGGCTGGAGATGCCTTGTTGCTGATCGATGAAACGTTGAAGCTGCTGTGAATGGCCTCCTGATTGTGTCCACCAGTTTCCCTTGGGGCTGAGCCATGGTAGTTGGAGTGATCTTTGTTTACTCCCAATTCCTAGTCGCTTCCCACATGAAGCAGATAGATAGCTAAGCTTGATGTGTGGAAGCCAGACCACAGGTTTCTCTGGATTGGATCAGACAGGGATACAACGGATTCCGTTAGGTGCAGTAGCTAGTGTGGTCACACAAGCACCACTGGATTCGAAATGGATGACCCGGATGCATCGGAATATTGTAGCAAAGTACTATAGCGTTTTGCTATAAAACTTACGCCCTCCGTTTCTAAATATTTTGACAGCGTTAACTTTTTAGCACATATTTGACCGTTTGTCTTATAAAAAACTTTTGTAAAATATGTAAAACTATATGTATATATAAAAGTATATTTAACAATAAATCAAATGATAGAAAAAGATTAATAATTACTTAAATTTTTTAAATAAGACATATTTAAAAAAGTCAACGACGTTAAATATTTAGAAACGGAGGAGTATAAAAGTTTCGGATTCACCGTAGCAAGTGATTTGGGTCATTGGATCAAGAAATAGAGGGCTCAAATCGTGTGGAGTTGCTATCGTGCAGTCGCAATAGCAACCGCACTGGATCTCAATCCGGATACAACATACAAGTCACACAAACAACTCCAGTACTACTCCGTAGCCCGTAACCTTTGGACAAGCCCATTTGGTACACTACACCAACTGCAGTTTGATGTTACACTTCCAGCACTGAATTTCTATTTTTGCCTCACACTTTTATGTGGTACACGTTAACTCTGATATTGGATGAATTTTTTTCTTCAAAAATTTACTGTATGACTTCTGATAAACAAAAAATACAGGGTAATATTCTAAGATAAGAAGTCCTCATGTGACTCAATGTCACGTTACTGTACAAAACAGTACAAGTTTGTGTATATAACACAATGGAGCAGAGATGGGCGACGTGCAGGCTTTCATCTATCAAGATAAGCCCACTTCTCTACCCATGTAATCCTACAATGATCTCGTATCAAAATTACAGGGGGTGCACCTGTTCAACCATACATCAACCAAAACCAAGCACAGTGGGTGCTAACTCTAACAATGGCTCCAACGCACTTGGAGCAAACTTTCGAGCAAACAGGAAGCACATCGTAGAGTTCTGGCCGTTGTATAAACAAGTCCGGCCCTCTTGAACTCTTCTCAGGAATTCCTCTGTGATATCACCCCTTCCAAAGGTGGCTGGATGTGCACCTCCTCTTGACCAATCCACCCAAGTAATACTTCTATTTGCCAGGCTTTGTGGTGCTTCAATTGTAAGCATTGTAGGGAAATAGTGCTCATCAACATAACAATGAGGCCTGCAGAACTCCTTGAATTTTGGGTAATAGAGCGTGTCTCTCACAATTTCGATGGCAAGCTCCCTGTTTACTTCAAACCATTGCGAGCCTTTGCGCCATTGTGTGAGTTCAACCTCTGGGGTCATGTTCCAGTTGTACCTGCCCCGTCCATATGGTCCAGGATCATCGAACGCCATGACAAAGCTTTGGCTTGAATTCTGGAGGTATCGGTATGTAGTGTTGAAATTAAATATAGGAATGCATGACTCAGACACAAGGACAAACCACTCATTGGATATATCCAGCAGAGCGTTTGCCAGAAGGCGTCTCTCAGCATCACACATTGTCATCTCACCCCATTCTGCAACCTGTGATCAGCAAACAAATCAAAAAATATGTTAGACTATATCAACACAAAAGGCTAAATAAATGACTTTTCTGGTGGAACCCTAATAATAGAGCTTAGTGCCTTTCCAGTGGAACACTAATAATAGATACAACTTCATTGGCCCATGCGGTTAACCCATCATAGACTGGCTAATGTGGCTCTGCTTAGCCCAAAACTCATTCCTATTAGGGCGATAAAAGATAACAGTAACCATGCAAAGACAAAATGATCTTTGCATGTAATCACGGTACGCCAAATATTTTTCTTTTGTGTTTAATCTGACAACCCAGCATAACATATCCATCATGACCAATATCAATGTCACAACCATGACCAGCCATTATGGAAATTAACTCACAAACTCCCTGATGTTAAAGAATAAAAAGATAGACTATCATTTCTGTTATAACTTTTGAATCATTGTGGTCAACATCAGGTGATTCTAACATTTCGGTATGGCTTGCTTGTCGATCTTCCTATGAAAAATTTCAACTAAAAAATGATGATTTGCTAGAACAGTGTTGTAGATATGGTTTACTCCAGATAGACTAGGAATGTAACTCCTAAAGGTGCAGAACTGCAGATACACAGAACCACAATTAAAATCTATGGAAATAACAGATCTCGGAAAGTTTTGCTGTCAAGGTAAATGCGCAAACTAGATTGGCATCCTACAGTGGAATCATCAAACATAGTGCCCAACACTTGTGCCGTCTGAGCATGGTAAACAAAGTGAAAAAAATGTTCCTTGGCCACAAATTTGAGTGGCATTGAAGAAACGCCACAAAGTTTGACTGATATTGGATTAATGTCAATGCAATGATGGATGGTTTGTCGCACCAACACGGCATATTTGCCACCCATCTTTGTGACAAAGAAAAATAAAGTACGATGAAGAAAGGTCAACTATCCATTAGATTCACAAGAAGCTCTAGACTTCTAGCTTCGGCACTCATTGTTCCCTTATGCTTATGCTTATAAGCCAAAATTTAAAATTTAATTTTGAATTTGATTTTATGGTTTTCTTCATCGTGGTTTATTTTACAACATTTGCTTTTGTATCACTAAAAGACACATATATAAAAGTTTTACCTACAAATTAATTTTTGCTTGTTAATAAGCGGTACGAATAAGCATAAGGATAAGCGAAACTATGGGTTAGTAAAGTGCCACCTTATTCAGTACTATATCGATACTCCTTCAGTTTTAATAAGATCCAAAGAAGTGAAACACTGGGATTCACTAACCAATTGTCCAGATCACACGCGAATTGTCTTGTCCAGGAATAGTACAGTACAATACAAGCCTAGTAGTACAATGGGACATGCTTAATGCTAACCTTACTCGGGATTTGGCGGCGGTAGAAGACGGAGTCGGTGGTGAAGTTGGCGCGGTAGGACGGCAGCGCGTGGACGTAGACGGAGTAGAGCCCGTCGTGGCCGCGGAAGAAGCGCTCCCAGAGCGGCGCCAGCGGGAGCGGGCCGCGGGTGAGGAACATGAAGGCCACCTTGGGCACGCGCCGGTACGGGTAGCCGGGGACCCGCGGCACGAACGACGCGCGCCACAGGAGCTCCCCGTCGGCCATGGCGTGCTCCACGCGGTCCGGCCCCCGCGTCCACCGCTCCAGCCCCTCCGGCGGCGGCGGCGGGGGCGGAGGCGCCCCCGCCGCCCCCCACGCCCCCAGGCACGGGCGGAACAGCGCGGGCGCGGCGGCCGCCAGCGTGTGGCGCGCCATGTACATCCCGGCCGCGGAGAGGCAGACGCCGAGGAGGAGGAAGCCGAGGAACACCTTGAGCATCCCCGTCGGGAACACCCTCCCCTGCGGCTGGAGCGGCGGCAGGGCGGCGGGGCGGGCGTCCTTGACGTCGTCCATGGACGCCACGCGCGACTGCATCGCGGACGCGGACTAGGGGAAGACGACGAGAGAGGAGGAGGCGGCGGCTGCTCCCAGATTTGAGGGCGCGCCGGGGGGCATCTCTCCGGATCGGGAAGGCGACGAATGGAGTCGAGGTGGGCGGCGGGGGGTGGGTCAGGGGGGGTCAGGTCAGGCGGGCTCAGATCTGGGGCGCGGGCGGTGGCGGTGGTGGTGGAGTGGACTGGTGGTTGGGGTGTGGGGGGTGATGCGCACGCTGCGAAACCGGCCGGTGGTTGTGGTTGTGTGCCGCCACCGCCTCGGGGTCGGGGGGACGAGTTGTAGCGTCAGTGCGTCACGGGTGGGTGTGGGTGTGTGCCGTAGGGTGGACAGTGGACCCGGTCTACGGAGGCGACCTTGCGAGGGGAGAGGAAGAGGACGGGAGAGCGGTGCACGTGGACCGGGTTCGTGCAAGGTGAATGGCCCCCAACTCGTTGGATCGAAAATACGGTGATCCTTACAAAAACTTAATTATACTATTATAGTGAAATCTTGACAGATGCCTTTTTTTTTAAGATAAAATCTTGACAGGTGCCTAATCCATGTTTATTCAGAAATTTCCTTGTATACCACTTAAAGTTTCCATGTTTCTCTATATGCCACCTAAAATTAGCTATTCTCTTATATGCCATTAAATTAAAGTTCTCCTTCCCTATGTGCCATTGCTATTACCTCCGTTGCAAACCCATGCCGTTAGTGCACAGAACTTGCTATCCATCTCTAAAATGGCTATCCTACCCTTGTGATGCCACATATCCACTTCTTTCCTTCTTTTTTTTCCTTCACGCACGTCATATGCTCATGGCAATTGGGCAGTCGTCAAACTATGCTGCTGACGTTGACCAGCAGCTTCTGTGTGATCATTTCGTTTCGTCGTTCCCCATGATGGTGGCAGGTGACTCCATGGCCAACGGCCATGACGACGAGCTTCTGAGGATGCCCTCCGTCATCGACGTGAGTGACGTCGATGAGCTTAAGGTTCAATTCCTAGCATAGTCTCGACACGCCGATTGTGCCATCTGGCGATCATCACTTTGGGACGCAGAACGACGACACACGATGTGTATTGATGTGACATGGATGGTAGAACTCGATCTGCGCAAGCAACAAGACGTTGTTGCCCCTCGTCGGCTGTGGTGGTCGTCGTGGTACTAGCCACTAGCTAGCTTGATCCTTTTTAGCTCGGGTATTAGGGGGTGTGGGCAATTTGGTCTTTGTGCAATCAGTTTAACAGCCCATTAACACCACATCGACGGGAGTGGCATATAGGGAAGGAAAATTACAACATAGTGGCATATATGGTAATAGCTAATTTTTGATGGCATATAAGGAAACTAGTTTTGAGTGGCATATAAGAAAATTTCTCCTTTATTCATATGTTTGAATTATTTCTATAGAGGGATAGCGAAGATTCATCTATTCGTCTACTGTTAACGACCATCATCTTAGACATCATCTTAATGTTAAGATAGAGATCGTGCCCATCATCTTAATCTTAGACCATCATCTTAAATGTTAAGAAGAGAGAGAAGAGGTTTCGCTTGAGCGGTGAAAACGGAAGTCACGGCGTGAGATTTCTCGGGGGTAACGGTTAGTATTTAAAGTGCTGGAATAATGGTCAAAAGCGGCGGAGTGTGAAACTTGCTCGGAGTCGATACATGGCAAATCCGGAACATGATCAAATATCCCGGACCTGGGGGGCATGTGTTAACGACCAAATTTGGTAACATCTGTGTCAGGAAAGAAGATTTGATCAAAGCGAAGTCGGAGGCGGAGATCGAGTTCGGAAACAGAGCAGGAATCGGCTGGAGTCCAGATCGGCTACGATTAGAATCGGCTGGGTCTGAGTCGGGCTAAATAAGCCGATACGACCGATTCTGACAATACGACTTGTACGCGACATTGGGTTCAAATTAATGTACTTCAGGATGATTGCCACACACGGATGGAGTCCTGGAAAGGTAATTGTATCTATTAATTAGGATATCTTATGTAAATTCCTTATAAATAAATGTGGGCAAAAGTCTGCCGCAAAGACTTATGGTATCTTAGAGTTTGTTAGAGATAATAGTCGTGTCCGGTATGGTCATATCTTGTAATTCTCGGGTATAAATAGACCCCGAGCCATATGTAATTTAACAACACACACGTTCAATACAATTTCGGCGCATCGCCACCCTTTTGCCTTAGTTTTGCTTCGACGAGTTCTTGCTTTCGGGTTGAGCTGCATCGGTTTCGATCTTCAACAAGAGGTAAAACTCGTTATGACGGATTGTGTTTTTAGGATTAGTGCTTCCATCTTTATGATACTCTAATCTTGTTTATATAATTCGTCGAGTTATCATATATCTTACATAATCTCTAGCAATATCGCCACCTAATCTACTATCGGCTAATATCTGTACGCAGAGGGCCGCCGATTAGGTTAGATCTTGATGTTGATCTAGATTATATGAGATATCTACCATTCTATGAAATTCTAGCGGCTTGATTGTCTAGATATCGTTCTTCTTTTCATACTTAATGCTGTATCAGTTGAGTTTGACCTATTGAGTCGTGCTTAGAATATCGATCTCTAGCCTGCCTTATAGTTGCCGATTAGAATAGCATCGGAGTTTCAGCCGATCGTATCTGATTTAACTATATTTGTTCTATATGCTTCAATGTTATGTTAAATCTGCCCTTTATATTAAGATATTGCTGTGTCTAAGAATGTTAGGCTTTTGCTCGATATATTATACTTGCTTTAATACCTTGATATAGAGTAGTATCGGAGTATTAGCCGATACATGCTAGATCTATCTAATCGGCTATGCTACAAACATATATAGTCCTGTTATTGATATACATTTCGATCTAAGTGATTTATACTGTCTCGGCATGGTGACCGATCTATCCCAATCACTTGATTTAAGTATACATCGATATAAGGAGTATATATCGTTAATATCTACAGCCGATCGAGTAGATTTAGTTCTTCTTTACTTATTCATGACTGCCGATCGATACACATATGACATCGGCTCAAAGATAAATGATATGTCATCGACACCTAGCTGATCGGCTATCATTTATAGACTTAACCACGGTTTCTTTGCTTCTATTTCTTGTTGATTACAGGATCAAATCAACTGGCACGCTAACAACATCTGAAGGCGAGCTTTGGACCTGCACTGGAGTTAAGCAAATCTCCCAGGCCACGTGTTTTTCTGTCAACACGCTTTTGGCACGCCCGGTGGGACCTGTAAGAAGTCAGACGTCAGTTCTTCCTCATGGCCGAGAAACAGCCACCACCACCATCTAGCCCAGGTTCCGTTAAAGGCAAGGCGTTGAAGTAGGGATTGACTGACATCATTGATGACAACGTCATGCCGATCGATCCAGAGAAATTCACGCCTGAGCAGAAGGCGGAGTTTGAAGCAACCCTGCAACAGGCACGGGATCAGTTCCTGAACTCATTTATGCAGACCCACGAGGGGACACTTGTTCAAAAGTACAAAATAAAAGTGGTTACTGATAGTCCTGGGACCGGTTCTTCTAAAGATGGAGAAGTGAAACAAGCTCCAGGCGGCTCGGCTCAGCCGAGTACTAAAGGTGCTACCGACGGCTCCCCGAGCGATCAAGGCGACAATTCTCAAGGAGTCCATGGCGTACAAGGTGATGGTGCTCAGGAGCCACAAGGAGGGAATCTTAACCAGAATAGTGAACTAGCACAAGATTTTTTCAATAACTTCCAAGATCGGGTTGATTACGCTGTGCATCATGCTTTGATCAATCAGTCCGGGGTATTAGTCAATACATTGTCAAACATGATGAAGACAATAGTCGATGGTTCGATAGCTGAGCATCAGGCTGCAGGCCCAGTTTACTTGCATGGAGGTGTCTTCCCGAATTATCGATCTTTGATCACCGATGTTCAGCCATCTGTTCAAGCAGTTCCCTCCGTTGCACCCACAACTCAGCCGACGGTGCCAGCGTCGACTCCTTTGCCTGCTACACTAGCTATGACGCCAGGATAGCCGGTGAACCCTCGGTTGTTAACAAGGGATCAGCCACAGCATGGCGGGCAGGCTACGAATCGGCTAACCCAAGATCAAGTTGCTGCCATGTTTCTGCCACCTCCACCTATTGTTGATCCAGTGCAGCAGCAGCCGATTCAGCAGACACCACCAATCCAGCCAGTTGTACAACCAATCCAACAACAGGTAGTACAACAGGCTCAGCAAACATCACCAAGGCAGCAGCCTCTGCAACCAATTCAGCAAACACCACCAAGGTAGCAGCCTCAGCAGCCGATCCAACAGACTCCATTAAGACATCAGATCATTCAGCCGATTCAGCACCCGGGGTCTATAAATGCATCGGCCGGGTTCGCAGTACCTGGTGGTCAACCTGTATCCCAGAGCATTTGGTTCATCGTGCACAGCCGGACGGCACAGTGATACCTCAGATGGTTCCTGAACACTTGGTGCGCAACATCCAGCCGAATCTTCATAATTACCAAGGGGGTAACTTGAGCTATCAATATCAGCCTCCTTCCCCGCAAGCCCAATATCAGCCAGGGGGGTTGGCTTAGCCCCAGTTCGCATCTCAGTATGGTCAGTTCGAGTCTATGCAACAACAGCCACAAGGAGCAGCTCAGCAACGACCGTGGGCCGATGTGATTGCCGATGTAATGAGAGAACAATTTGGGCTTAAACCAAAAGAGACTGGAAGCTTGTATCGGCAGCCTTATCCTGAGTGGTTTGAAAGAGTTCCTCTCCCCAATCGGTTTAAAGTTCCAGATTTCTCCAAGTTTTCGGGACAAGAGGGCGTGTCAACTTATGAGCACATCAACCGATTCCTTGCTCAGTGTGGTGAAGCATCGGCTGTAGACGCTCTGAGATTTAGGTTATTCCGGTTATCTCTGTCTGGATCAGCTTTTACTTGGTTTTCCTCTTTGCCATGTGGGTCGATCAATAGTTGGGCCGATTTGGAGAAGCAATTTCACAGCTATTTCTATAGTTGGGTTCATGAGATGAAGTTGTCCGACTTGACAGCGATCAAGCAGCGGCATGATGAACCCGTGCACGAGTATATTCAGAGGTTCAGGGAGATGAGGAACAAATGCTTTAGCTTGAGTTTAACTGATGCTCAGTTAGCCGATTTGGCCTTCCAGGGTATGATTCCTCCAATCAGGGAGAAATTATCGTCCGAAGACTTTGATAGCTTATCGCATCTAATA